GGGAGGGGGGGTGACCATAGGGGCCTCAGTGGAGGAGGGGCAGCAGTGGAGGGGGCGCCGAAGGTAGCCAGAGGGAGCTGGGACTGGACAGACGTGCACCGTTGGGCTTCCAAGAGGAGCACGGCCTCTAGACGCCGGAAGAGGCGGTGACACAGGTCTCCCCGAGACCCTCCAGAGGGAGCGGTCCTGTGACCCCTGGTTTTAGCCGCTGACCCTGGGCTGGGGCTCTGTCCTCCGAGCTCTACAGTGACACCTCCTGCTGCGTAACCACTGAGTTGGGAGTGAATTGTGACAGCGGCGACGGGGGCAGTGCCCACAGCCAGGGCATTCACGAGTCTGCTCGGCAGCGGGGCTGCGTGCCCGTGGGCTCGCCGAGGGGCGCCGGCTGCAGAAGTCACCCCACCGGCAGCGCACAGGATGTGACAAATCAAAGCCCGGCTCAAAATATCACACACGTGTGACATCCTTTTTATAGCGTGAAAAACAACCCGAAATACATCGAGGCTCCGTGTGGCAGCAGCCACGCTGTGCTCAAGGGCCGCGTGAGTCAGGACGCGGGAGCCGGGAGCTGCGGGGAGCAGGCGCTGAGCCACCGGGCTGGGGTGATGGGCTCCCGGGCTGTGTGATTGGGGGGCCCCAGGGTGGTTCCCCTCGGGGCCTGCAAGGGAGCACGGTGGACTTCGTGGCATAAGACACCTGTGGTGGCGAGAAGGATGGAGCCGAGGTCCTTCGGGGGGAGCTTGGCGGCTCCGCTTCCTTCCAGGGCAGAGCCAGAGGCCCCTGGTTGTGCCTGGAGCTGCAAACTCCAGGGCCAGTGCCACGCCACGCGGGCGGCTGTCTCATTCCAGCGCTGTCATCACCCCCAGAGGCGGCCCCGTACCTGTGCCCCCTCCTCCGCCCCGCTGAGGAGCAGCTGTTAAGGATTAGATGTGGCTTATGATGATTCATCGCTCTCCGTGTATTTAAGGACGAAGGTCAGCAGGGTGATGGGGTGCACTGGCCGCCCCTGACCCCACGGCTTCTCCCCAAAGCTGTGTGACCTTGGCCGGTGTCTTGGCCTCTCTGTGCCCGGTTTCCTGTCCTGCAGACGAGACGGGCAGGGGCATTGCACACAGGGCCGTGTGGAGGAGAGGGGACGGTGCTGCTGGGCAGGCCAGAGCCTGACCCCCCGCAGGTGCCGAGTGGGAGGACCCTGATGGGACGAACCACAGACAGGCCGTGCCCATCTGGCAGCCTGCAGGGCCAGCTGTTCTCCCCCAGAGCGCCGAGGTCTCCGGTGGGCAGCCTGGTTCCACACCCCCGCCTCCGGCCCCCGAATATGCCGAGTCCGGCCCGACTGCGGGCGGCACTGCACAGCGCGCTCGCCTCGAGACAGGCGCCATCGGGGCGGACCTGGCCACACCGCCCTCAGAAGCAGGCGCTTTCTCCCTGGCCGGTGTGGCTCAGTGGATAGAGCATCCGCCTGAGGACTGAAGGGTCCCGGGTTTGATTCTGGTCAAGGGCACGTACCTCGGTGAGGCTCCATCCTGGACCTGGTCGGGGCCCCTGCGGGGAGTAACCAGGGGATGTGTCTCACATCGATGTGTCTCTCTGTTTCTCACCCTCCCACTCTCTAAAAATCAATGGAAAAAAAGGATTAACAAAGAAACAGGAGTCTTCTGAGACATGTCAATCTATTAGATGTTTATAAAAATAAAAGAAGCAGGCGCTTTCTGTGCGGCTGCCGCTCCCAGCGGAGGGCCCGGGGCTCGGCCTGCGGGTGGCTTGTGGCCTGAGGCCCCGCAGGACCCCGCGTCTGAGTGCACCACTCACGGCCTGGTGTCTGGCCCTGCCCGCGGGGTCAGGAGGGGGGACCCGCCTGGCGAGACCGTGGCTGGAGTGTGCCCGGCAGCTGGAGTGTGCCCGGCAGCAGAGGTGGCGCTTCCTCGGCGTCGGGCGCTGGGAGCGTCCAGCACGGGGAGCCTCCACGGTGGTCTCTGCCGTCAACTTTTCCCAGGCCCAGGAGGTCGGAGCCCCCGGCGGGGCAGCTGGGGCGTCCCAGCCCCTCCTCCTGGTCAGCGCCCGGCCCAGGCAGACCTCCCCTGGTGCTTCCCAGAGGGAAGGGTGCGGGCGGACAGCTGGGGACCACGTTTTCGTGGCCCCGTCTGAAGGTGGCTCCTCACGGCTGCGGGGAATGAGGGGGTGACCGGGCCCTGTTTTCCTGCAACAAGTAAAACAACAAAAATGAGTGTTTTTCTGGCCGTACTAGTCATTGCTCAGAAAGTCCACCTACTCCTCGAAGAGTAAGCTCAGATGTCAGGCCACCGGGAAGGCCCCGCCCGCCCGGGAGAGCTGTGTGGACTTTGGTGAATCTCAGAGGAGGACTCTGGCCTGGTCTGCAGTGTCTCTTAGGGACGGAACCTTCTAGATCTGCAGGGGCCTGCTGGGCTTCCCTCAGGAACACCAGGAGGTCGCTGAGTGTCGATGTGGGCACGTGGCGCACCAGATGGTGCATTCAAGGCATTTTGACGAGAGATGGTGTGTGTGACGGTGAGTGTAGCCGTGGGGTTGGGTGTCCCGACCGCTCGGGGTATCAGGACGCCCGCGGTGCCGCTAAGGGAAAGGTGACCGCGGCCGCCGGCCCCTTCCTGGGAGGAGTGACCGACTGGCAGCAGATTCTTCTTCCGACTGGGTCTTTGGTTTCAGTAAAACGGACGGAGGCATGAGCCGCACGGCCCGGCCTCAGAGCTGCTTCTGACCCTGTAGTTTCTCGCTGTGATCTGGGCCCAGAGCGGGCCCCTGGCACCGCCCCTCCCGCCGATCCGTGTTCTGTGATGGGCACCGGGCACGGCCAGTGCTGCTAAGTGTTCTTTGATTCTTGATAAACTGAGCGATAGCCACAGTGGAGGAGGGCAGGTGAGGGCCGGAGAGGGCGGGCGAGGGTGCCATCTGGGGTCCTGCCCCTGTCCCACCCTGGGCAGCCCGGAGGCCGGAGGGGTCCTTCAGTCCCGGGCGCTGTGGCTCCCTCGGGGCCCCTCCAGGTGTCCACAGGCCCCACCGCATCCCTGGCCGACCTGGAAGTTCAAGAGTGAACCTGGGTGGGGGTCGGAGAGCGAGTTTCTGGTCCTCGGTTCAGGCTGATGACTCCCTGCCCCCCAGATGCTGCCCTAAAACCAAGAGGAGGTGCCAGGATGGGAAAAGGGCCGTAATGGAGGGTGGGGGAGGGGCTGGCCTCTGGGGGGCGGGGCGGGGAGCCAGGGCTAAGGGCACCATTCGGAGCAGCAGCGAGCGCCTCTCCTCCCAGCCCACGCCCAGACAACACACGCGTGCGCTCACATTCTTTCCCACACACGCAGGGGCACTCCCATGTGCACACACAAATGCAACACGCCCGCATGCACTCACACGCACGAACCCACATGTGTGCACACACATTCACACAAACACACTCATGCACATGTGTGTGTACGTGTGCACACACAGGCACACCCACATGCATAGCCACACGTGCACACATGTGATGACACGGTGATCCCCTGCAGTCCCACCTGCACACGTGCTAGTGTCAGCTGGGTGAGCTGAGGGGCTGAGCGCTCAGCCCGCTGAGGCCAGCACCGCCGGGGTCCGCTGGGCGTGCGTGATGGGCAGCGGGCACCCACCCCTCCAGCCTCCCTGGCCCGCATGCCACTGCCTCCCAGGCTGCAGTTTGCATAGCAGGTGCCGTCACCAGGGGGCAGGGGGTGTACTGAGGGTGGGAGCTGAGTGTGTCTCCGTCAGGTGTGGGTGTGGCCACACCAGCTCAGAGCCACGGCCTCCTGGGGGCATCACCCCCAGTGCCCTCAGTGAGGGAGCTGGTGGTGTGGCCTGGACGGACCCCAGGGCTGTGGTGACTGGGGCCCACTCCTGAGCTGGGTGTCAGGACACCATTGGCCAGGAGACCCCTGACCCCACACTCCCTGGGCTCTTGTGTGGGGCGTCCCTCCCCAGAGAAGCTGGGACCTGCCATTTAGTTGCCTTCGGAGACACTGCTCTCGACCTCCAGGAAGCAGCCGGCCCCGTCGTCCTAAAGCCTGGAGACGCTTGTGCAGGAGCCGGCGGGGAGCGCACTGCTCGTCGCCTGGGAACGGGCCGCCCCAGGTGCCCGCACACCTCGGTCTGGCTCACGCCTGGGTGCCTGTCTCCCCAGAGGTCGGACCCGCAGCTGCTGGCCCAGTTCTACTATGCGGATGAGGAGCTGAACCAGGTGGCGGCCGAGCTGGACAGCCTGGACGGGCGGAAGGACCCCCAGCGGTGCACCCTGCTCGTCAGCCAGTTCCGCTCCTGCCAGGTGAGTGCAGGCCTGTCCCGGGTGTGGGTCTGTCCCGGGTGTGGTCTGTCCCGGGTGTGTTCTGTCCCGGGTGTGGTCTGTCCCGGGGGTGTGTCCCGGGTGTGGGTCTGTCCCGGGTGTGGTCTGTCCCGGGTGTGTTCTGTCCCGGGTGTGGTCTGTCCCGGGGGTGTGTCCCGGGTGTGGGTCTGTCCCGGGTGTGGTCTGTCCCGGGTGTGGGTCTGTCCCGGGTGTGGGCCTGTCCCGGGTGTGGGCGTGTCCTGGACTTGAGGCCTGTCCTGGGCACTAAGGCCTGTCCCTGTTTCAGGACAACGTGTTAAACATCATCGACCAGATCATGGACGCCTGCATCCCCCAGGACCGCGCCCCCCGGGACTTCTGCGTCAAGTTCCCCGAGGAGA